CTCTGTGAGTTCGAGGCCAGCCTGGGCTACCAAGTAAGCTCCAGGAAAGGCGCAAAGCTACACAGAGAAACCCTGTCTCGAAAAACCAAAAAAAAAAAATAAAAAAAAATAAAAGAAAAGCCTGTCACACTTGGTAAAAGTGGTAAGATCAGACTACGGGAGTGATTGGACACTTACTTAGACTCTATGCTGGAAGAGAATCACTGGGGGTATGTATGCCTTGGAGGGCTAGTCAGGACGCACGCTCCTGCACACTCTTACTGCCTCCCATTTCTGTTGCGGTGATGTTCTGCCTAAGCCACTGTGGGCTGAACCTTCAGGAACCGTGACTAAATAAACCTTCCCTTCATGGTTTCTGTCATTTACTTTGTCGTAGCAGTGAGAAATAACTAGTAGCTGGGACCTGTGAAATCTCCTTTAGGAAGATTTTATATATATAAAATGAGCCATTTCAAAAATTGTGATGAGGAATAAAATGAATAGGGAAGCCTAAGATGGATGAGGAGGGCAAGTGGAGATAGTAGACCCCAAGACAGTTATTGTTTATAATCTGATTGGTTTATAATCAAACCTAATACTCATTTGAACTCCAATTTTCATGTTAGAAGAGGCAATGTAGAATTATTTTTTCTAGATGAAAAAAGGAACAATTTAACCCCCAAATTTTTATTGCTACATTAAATTGGAAGTTTAGTGAACCACTTTTGAGCTGCTTTATATAGTGATATATGAAATACATAAAATCATGGAAGAGAGAAGAGCGAGATACAACTTTATATGGCTAATAGACCATATAAAGCTCCTGAATGGAAAAAGATGCAGTGCAAAGAATCAGGAATGAATGTTAAGGAATTTTGTGAGCATGTGAAATACCCGATATGTTACTATTTATATGATGTGCATATTCAAGATTGAACGTTAATTTGGTAAAAAAAAGTACAAAGAATAACAAAACCATTAGGTGGGAATGCCACGTCTGAATACCGGGAGGGAGTGTCAGAGGTTGTTGGCATCTTCTTTTTTATCAGTGAGCCGTTCAGAAAGCGGTCTGCCCAGCTGATGTCCCAGCTCAGTCTATAAGGAGACTCAATGCTGTCTAGCTCTGTACTTGGAAATGCATTTGATTTCAGATAGCCACATTCTTTATCTGACTCTTCCTGGACTTTTTACTTGGAGTAGATGGATTTTCACTCTCACTTGCCCTTTTCTGCCTGAAGATAGTTAGAGAAATGCTAGAAGTAGTTGAGGAAGGGATGTTTACTCATACTTTAATTCGAAACAGTAGCAATGTGCTGAAAGTGTTTTTTTTAAAGTTCTTTTTAGATCTTTGTTAAAAAATGTTTTAATTGCAAAGTATTATAACTGATAGGATTCTAATGACTTCAGTGGTGAATATGTCAGTCTTATTGCTTCTTATGGCTCATCTACTTCTGAGAGGAAATTAAGATAGCAGTATTTTAGAATGCCTATTAAGTCATCCTATTGTTTTGTTTCTGTTTTAGCCACCAGAAAGGCAGATTGTGGTTGGAATATGTTCCATGGCAAAGAAATCCAAATCCAAACCCATGAAGGAAATTTTGGAACGGATCTCCTTATTTAAATACATCACAGTAGTAGTTTTTGAAGAGGAAGTAATTTTGAACGAACCCGTGGAAAACTGGCCTTTATGTGATTGTCTTATTTCTTTCCATTCTAAAGGTAATAAATGGTGGACGGGGGCTTTTATCCTCTCGGATTGTAAAAATAATACACATTAGTTGTAGAATATTGGAAAAAACATAGTGAAGCTAGCTCACAGATAAGGGAAATTAACATTGAGATATATTTTTTTCTAATCTTTTTCTTCTGCATGTGTTTTTTAAAAATTTGTGTCATAGTTATATTTAACTTTACATTTAGCTTTTCTTAGATTTTATCAAATTTTTCCATTTCACCTTTTTTATGGTTTGTATTGTGTAAATGTATAACATAGTTAACTAATAACCAAACATTTGGATGACTCCTAGTCTTCATTATTAAAATAAGGTTGTGATCAACTCATTCACACATCATGGATAAACTCTTGAATTGTTGGATGTTTTAAATCCTATATTTCTACCACATAGAAAGTGACCTGTCGTTCTTTATATAAATGAGCATACCTTATTTGTTAAGAACTTTCAGTTAAAATTTTAGCTCTTCCTTGCCATTTTTAATTGAATGGCAGTATCAGTTAAGTTTAAGTATTACATTATAGTAAAATCCAGTAATCAAAATTATTGCTGTCTATTTCTGAATTTTTTTTTACATTTTGTGAATTATGTGATTTTTCCCATTAATAAGTATGTTAGTTTTAGAGTTTGTTCCTATATTAATCATTATCTGTTACCTAGAAAATAGCTTTGAGCTCTGTTAGGTTTTTTTTTTGTTTTTGTTTTTGGGTTTTTTTTTTTTTTTTGTATACTGATAATGGAAGTTGTTGTTCATTTTGAGTAAGCCCAGCTCTGATCTCGCTTGGCTGAGGCTTTTTCTTTGAGGAAAGTTTAAATTTCCTGCCTGTGAGCGTGTCCTTCTCTTGCCATCACATGGTTCTTTCTGTGAAAGCTACTAGCTCCTAAAAGCTCCCTGCCATGTCTCAGACATATTCTCTGTGTTACCTGTTGCTATGAGAGAATTTTCTCGTTAACACAAACCAAAGCAGAGAACTGCTGGCAGGTGCTTTCCACTTGCTAAGTGCTGGTGGGAAGCTTGAAATCATGACACGGGAACATTTACACATGCAGAGTTCTGATACATTATAGAGCTGTGAAGATTTGTAATCTGAGTTCAGCTGCTGCTTAATGCATTATTAAAAATCTAAGGGTAATTTAGGAATAAGTTTTCTTTAATGGAACATAGCTTTGTGATTTGAATTTTAGTACCTTTTAATACTTACCCTTTCCAAAATTTCCTGTAGTGCAGGAAAAATGCAATGTCCTTACATGCAGTTAATGTTCATAGTTAAATCATACAATGTCATGCTGACAGATTTTTATCCTCCATAGATACTTATTAAAGAATTGTCACATAAGAATAATAAAATGTATCATTCTTTGGAACATTATGCAAAGTCTTCTAAGTGACTTTATACATTAAAAATGTTTTAATTCCACAAGAATCCTATTGGCTAGTTGGGTGTCATGCACATTTGCAGCTGGACTTGAGAGATAAATTTGTTCAAGCTTTACATAGCTAGACAGAGGCAAGGCTTGAGTGCTGGTCTATGTTCTCATCCTCCGTGTGTGACACACTGGGGAATTTCGGTGACAATATAGAGAGTGAAACGTGATCTCTGAAATTCTTTATGGTTTTTCAAGTCTGTTCTAACCATATCTACATTTGACTCATTTCCATTTTTATTAATCATTACTAGTCTAGAAATTTTAGGGGATTACTTTCTGTATCCTAATGGTGACCCAGCAGCCGCATGTTTCTATTCATGTTTTTATCTTTTGTGCATCTTATTATGTATAAGCCCATTTCTGCTTTTGCTTCTATTTTTAAAGCTAGTTCATATTTATATACATCAAACTATCAAATAAAAGGGAGTTGTATATTAAGGATATTTTTAAAAAATCAAGTGATATGAAATGTTATTTATTCATAGATTTCCCTTTATATATGAATCTTACCTTCTATCAGGTGTCCTTAAATAGTCAGATACAGGATAACATGTCATAGCCAGTGACTTGGTGTGCCATTATCAATGATAATAACTAAGGAAATGTTACTTTAATAGTAAAAGTTAAATGAAAATTATTATTATATCTTATTTATAAATTATTTTATATCTTTTATAGAAGATATATACATAATGAAATTATTTTTTTAGGGGAGGTGACATAATTCAAGTTGATAAATTTATAGATGTTAGCTTTTCTTGAAATTGTAAAGAATATGATAAAAATATGTGTTCTTAGGATTTCCCCTGGACAAAGCAGTTGCCTATGAAAAACTCAGGAATCCATTTGTAATCAATGACTTGAATATGCAGTATCTCATACAAGATAGGTGAGTGGTGAAGTTGGCTGAATTAAGGGAAAAAGAAATCAATACTTAATTAGTGTATGCTGACTTAGCATCAGATGTTTTCACATACATTAGTTCATTGCATCCTTATAATACTCAGAAATAATTAATTATTAGCAAACTTTACAGAGGAGGAACCCTGAGAATTGAGGGAATCAGTTCACTTACACGAAGTCACGGGTAGTCTCCCAAGTAGTGGGACAGGGAATTGGAGGACATTTGCTTGATTTCTAAAGCCTACTAAACCCATCAAGATTACAGTTTCCTGTCATATGACTGATGATTGCATTAGAATTCATTCATTGTAATTGATGATTTTCATGGTAAAGTGTACACATTAGGAAAATTCTTTACTGTATGTCTTAGAATTCATTGAGCATAGACTTCTAGTTGAAATGATGAAAGGGTATAAATTTGTCTGCTTCATTTAATTGGTGTTTTGCTTTGGTAGTTACATATAATTCTATGTGTCATTATCATTCTACTTTTTTGTGTTAATAACATGAGATTACTTATATTACTTATGTGGAAATACATATATACTAATTATGTATGAAGACAGAATCACCTTTCTCCTAGCATACTGTGAATATTTTCCTATAGCATTTAATATTATTATAAGATAAGATTTTTAGTAATTAGGCTGTATTCTGTCCTTTTGATATGTTAGTCTTACTTGACTATTTCTCTTCATGTATGTACAGTCTTGTTTTAAAGTATAGTCTTTTGATATGCTACAAAAGTTATTTTGTGTGCACTTTGACTATTTTGTTAGGAACACTGATATTTGAAATATTTAGAAAAGCAGAGAAGGTTGATATTTGTACCTCTTATGGTAGTAAAGAGTAATAATTTACTTGTGTGGGAAGACAATAAATTGTGAAATAGAAAGCCAAACAATAAGGATGTTTTTCTGTTTCTTTAGAAGAGACGTTTATAGCATTCTTCAAGCTGAAGGCATCTTACTTCCTCGGTATGCCATTCTGAACCGTGACCCAAATAACCCGAAAGGTCAGAGAACTCAACAGGCTTCCTTTTGGTTCTTGACGAACTGTTTGCCACTTCCCTGCAATAAGTAGAAAGAACTTAAGAATTCATAGTAGCCTATTTAATAGTTTTTCTTAATGAATTAAACAAATGAGCACTCTATCTGATTAACATGTAACATTGTGGGCTGTTGTGGAGGTGCTCGCCTGTAGTACCAGGACTGAGAAGGTTGAAGCAGGTCGATAGGGAACTCAGGGTCAGAGTCAGCACGTATTTAGTTCTGGGCCAGTCCGGGCTTCCGACTGTGAGACTGTGTCCCCGAAAACAAAACCAAAGGAGACACCATGAGCTAACTGGCTAACTAGTAGTACAGGAGTTAGCTCCATGATTTTCCTGTGTATAACTGTGCACATATGATTTGAGGGATGACCATTTGGCACTGGAGAATCCTTTAGGAAACTCACTCTTGGGAAGACTCATTCTTCCTCTCTCCCCAGTCATTAGTTACCTGTAGTTCTTGCCTCAGGATAGGCTTTTTTCCCTGAAGTTCTGAGGGTTGAACCCAGGGCCCTGCATAATAGCCAGGCTGTTATGTTGCTACTACTGTGGTGGTGGGACCGCCTCCTCAGCTCCATGATTGTGTCTGCTGAGGCTTAGCATAGTTTTACTAGAGGCTTGAAAAGTCAATTTTACTCTTGCTCTTGTGAAGATGTTATCTAAGTGATAGAACAGTTCATGACTTTTCTTGCTCTGATGCGTTGTTTATAGAGTGCAATCTGATTGAAGGAGAAGATCATGTAGAAGTCAATGGGGAAGTTTTCCAGAAGCCATTTGTAGAAAAGCCAGTCAGTGCAGAAGACCACAATGTTTACATTTATTATCCAACATCTGCCGGTGGTGGAAGCCAGAGACTTTTCAGAAAGGTAAGTCTTTGTAACCTTTGTGCTAGTAATATTCACTCTTCTATATACTTTATTAAAACTTTTTTAAAAAGTCATCAAGCGCTAAATAAGGTCAAATATTACACTGTCATCATCTAGAGGAAAATTCATAAGACTGAGATAATGTTGTTAGAAAGTATACTGTTACCTTTCTGTTACTGTGATAAGATACCATGAGGAGAAGCAGCTTATAGAAGGAAGGGAAAGGGTATTTGAACTTACAGTTCCAGGGAGATCAGAGTCCCTTATGGCAGGGGAAGCTTAACTGTAACCTGCAGGCATCATAGCAGCAGGAGCAGAGAGCTGAGAGAGCCAGCTGGAAATGGCTGTCAAAGCTTTTTCCTCTCAAAGCCCACCCCCAGGGAGGTGGGTCCTCCAGTCCTCCGGTCCTCCAGCAAGGCTGCACCACTTAATCCTCCCAAACAGCGACACCAGTGGGCAGCCGGTGTCCAAATACCCGAGTCTGTGGGGGACATTTCCCATGCAGCCACCACAGACAGTGTAGTTGCATAATGTTGTGAGCAAAATTCCTGCCCTCAGAATTCAGAGAAAGTTACCCGATGTTTCCTCAGTCTCCCACTTGCATTTCTGTCAGACTAGAAACTGAGTTAAAGATAAAACCTTTGTTGGAAAAATCGTGGGGGGAAAAATGCCAGTTTATACAAAAAGTAATGCTGGTAATTTTTACACGTGTAAGTGTATCCTTAATTGTTCCCATAGTAGAATAAATGCAAATTAGTTCTGAAGTATAATGATGATCATGTTACCTATTGGAGTAATGAGGATTTTCTCTTAAATTGGGTAGTTGGGAAATATGCCTAATCCAAAATGTGTTAGCAAGAATGCAGTCTCTTAGTTATATAATTTAGAAATGCATCAGAATTAAAGATACACTCATATATCGTCCTGGACTCGTATGCTAAGTGAGGTGCTAGAAAGGTCAGTGGTTATGAGCACTTGTTCTTGCAGAGGACTCATGGGCAGCTCACAACCATCTGTGACTTCAGTTCCGGGGATTTGATGCCCTCTTCTGGCCTCCATAAGCACTGCGTGCATTTGGTGCACTTACATACATGCAGGCGAAACACTAATACATATAAAGTAAAAATAAATCTTATGATGAAAACAAGATGCCATCTAAGCATTCATTATAGTTGCAGATATTGAAGAGTAAAAATACCAAGTATAGATCAGACTAGGAAATTTAGACCAGCTAGAACTTCCTTATATATTATTGGTGAGACTCAGATAATGTAGTTTCTGAAAAGTTTTGGCAGTATCTGTGTAAGTACAGATATGAATGAACATGAACCACCCTAGCAATTTCTTAGAAACATAACTATAGATGTGGCAGGGTGACATTTTAGGAATGTTAGAGCATCACTGCTGTATTATGCAAGAAGCTTGGCAAACAGCTAGACATATATGTATAAGGTGAAATGTCATTTGCATAGTAGAAGCTCTGTAGCAGAAATAAACAGACTCAATACTGTGTGTGTGTGTGTGCGCACGTGTGTGCGCGCGCGCGTGCATGTATGCGTGCCACATCTATGTGGAAGGGAGGCAAGAATTAGGTATCAGATTCCCTGGCACTGGAGTTCTAGGTGGTTGTTAGCTGCCTGCTGTGAGTGCTGGGAGCTTGGATCCTCTGGAAGAGCAACCGGTGCCCTTAAACACTGAGGCTTTCTCTTCAACCCCCTGACACATGATTTATTCATTATATTTTATGTCCTTTATGTTATATTTAAGTAAAATAATATACCAGAGAATATATACTGCCAAATATATAATAAGTATTGTTAAATCTTCATGAATTAAAGTTATTTAATAATTAAGAATGTCTAGAGTACATAGGACATAAAGGTTACATTTTAGATCTATTATAAAAATGAGGACACTACCTTGACTTTTATGTTGATGGACATCTTTTCTCTCTAGATTGGCAGTAGAAGCAGTGTATATTCTCCAGAAAGCAGTGTGCGAAAAACGGGATCATATATATACGAAGAGTTTATGCCTACAGATGGTACTGATGTTAAGGTGGGGTTGATTAGATTTTAACCTTATATTTAGGATAGGGCTGATTGAGGCATGGTGCGGTAAAGCTCAGATGCTCCTTGACTAATATTGAGTCATGTCCTGATAAACGGTGTTAACTTCAAAACACTATGGTAGCTGGGTATGGTAGTGCATCCTATAATCCCAGCACACAGATGTGAGACAGGAGGATCCTGAATTTGAGGAAAGCCTTGGCTCCATATCTAGTTCCATGCTAGAAGATCTAATAGCGAGAATCTTTTCTGAAAAAAAAAAAAAAAAGATGAAAAAAATTACTGTAAATTGAAAATACATTTAATAAATCTAATCTCATAAACATTATACCTTAACTGCATGGTGCACTGCATAAAGAACATTATTATTTTTCAAATGGCAACAAACTGCATTTAACTGCTGCTGTCCAGCGTCATCATGAGAGTATGATAGTGTATTGTCAATGAACCAGACAGAAATCAAAATTCAAAAGATAATTTCAACTGGAAGTAAATCACAGTTGCATCATCTTATGTCAGATCAAAAATTCACAAGTTCAGTATCATAAGACCATATGAATCACAGAGACCATATAAGTTTCAGGTTCTATCTTGAGCTTACCAGTTAGTTATTTTAGAGAAGGTTAACTGTTTAGCTGTTTCTTCATTTTCTTTTACTGTTATTGGTACTAGGGATGGAACCTAGGCCCTTATGTGAGGTAGGCAAGCATTCTAACATTAAGCGCTCATTAGTCCAGACTCTATTCAGTTTTGTGTGGTGGACACCACTGACAGTTGGAAGCCCAACAACTCCTTTTAAAGAATAGTGTTCTTAAATACTTAAAATAAAACGTTCAGTATTACAAAGGTGACAGATTTTAGTGAAACTTATAAAAATGTTTAGGTAAAGCTTAAATACAGATGATTCTTTAAAGGCTAATGAGTAATACAGTATCAGGTTGAGCATTCTAGTAGCTACCAGTTTCCAAGCAGTGATTAATGCTAGTGATGTTTGGTTCTGTGTCGACTCTACTGTGATATAAAAATGCCATTGCTCTTGATAACCAGTCAAGCTTACCTTTTCCCAGCATGCCTTTCTCTGACTAGGCTGTTGTTTCTAAACTTATAAATCTGATCTTGATCCTGTCCTTTACATTTTGCTGGCAAATTTGCATTGACCACAAGATAACATTCATGTTTGCAGGACTGCCATATGAGCTATTTCCTACGCTCTCTTCTGATAAATGCCATTTCTTAACTGCTGAGCCCTCTCTCTAGCTCCCAACAAATGCCATTTCTTACAGTACATACTACAGTCAAATTCCCTTCCCTTCCCAGAATACCTTGTGCTGCTTTATTCCTCTGCCTTATTACCTCTGTAGAAACCTTCCTTTGTTTCTGTTTGGATTAATCCCCCCGCCACCCTTTAAAAAAAATCCTGTAGCCTATTTTTCTATTCCTATTTAAGAGTTGTATCTTACTGTTATTAGACATAGACAATTTTAGCATCATAATGCTCAGTTTAGTAGTTTAGTACAAAGAATAAAGCCTCATGCTGTGTAAGTAATTATATATAACCCTTTCGAATGTATTGAAAATCGTGGCATGTAAAACAGAAAGATATGTCTTTTAATAATCTGGAATCTGAACTATTTTAAATAGATACTTTTCTTTGAATTTCTTATTTTCCAGTTATATATTTAACCAGCAATATATGCTATATATATTTCCATTTTATGAAAGGTTTATACTGTGGGCCCAGACTATGCTCATGCTGAGGCTCGAAAATCTCCGGCTCTCGATGGCAAGGTCGAACGAGACAGTGAAGGGAAAGAAGTCAGGTACCCAGTCATTCTCAATGCACGGGAGAAGCTGATTGCGTGGAAAGTCTGCCTCGCTTTCAAGGTAAGCTGTTATGCAAATTACGCATACCCTTGCGGTCTAAGTTTGTTTTTGAGCACTAAGCATTATTGGACAAGAGAAAAGTAAGCTGAGGGAGTAATTGTGTATGTGAGTTCATGTATGTATGTAGGCATTTCTGTGGGTCTGATACTGTTTTCCTGTATTACTAATGTGTTCTTTCCTTATTATAGAAAAGTAATAAACCTTATTCATTTAGTCAAAAATTAAAGTTATAGACTAACACCACTAACTAGAATTTAGTGGTAGTGCCTAACATATTTTTTCAAATGGTGATAAATACTTTCTACTTTTATAAAATTGATTAAAAATACTGTTGAATAAAAACTATCTTCATTGTTTTACTTATTGTTTACCTCTAAACCCTTCGGCCTAATACACAGTAAAACATGTTCATGAGCACAGTACAAATACCTTCTTAATACCTTAATACCTTTTTGCTTCTTGTGTTTGACTTTCCCCTCTTCTGTACTATTCATTTTTTAAATCTGGTTACTAGTCTATAGTAAAAATGTAAGTGGAAGTATTATAATCTGCACTTAATAAAGATTGCATTTTATCTTTTTAAATAAGGCCTATCCCAGATTCTTAACATAAGCTAATTATATTACTGGTTATAAATAAAAAGAACTACTTATATGAAGTAATGTGAAATCTTTTGTGTGAAGAATGTTAGTCTCTAAATAAGCTATAATGTGTTCTTAAAATTTGTTTTATTGTAGTAGGATTTTAGAGACTAATATTGTTCTATGTCTTTATGATAGGGAATAATCACATGGAATACACACTATTCACAGTACTCAAGGTTATGATTATTTGTAACCTTTATTTCTTTTTATATAACAAACCTTTATGTAATATATTGTTAGATATTTTAAAATATATAAATGTTCTTAAAAAAACTAGAATACTGAATCATAATAGTTCCAATGAAACCTTAAAATTTCTAACTTGTTTTAAATAGCAAACAGTTTGTGGTTTTGATTTGTTACGTGCCAATGGACAGTCCTATGTCTGTGATGTCAATGGCTTCAGTTTTGTGAAAAATTCCATGAAGTACTATGATGATTGTGCAAAAATACTTGGGTAAGTATTTACCTTTCTCCTGTTTACCTTTGTGTATTTGCTAAGCCATGGAAGTTTTTAGGTCACTCTAGAGTAGCACTCAGTACTCACAAGATCTCTGAGTTGTGCTTTGGGTTATGAGGACAACTTAATGGGTAACATGTTGCTAACAACTTTACATCATGGACTTGGATATAACAAGGAGCTACTAGATACAACATTCTTCAATTTTTCCTATGTAATTGTATTTGAAATGTTTCTTTAACCTACTTAATGGTATAAAATAAACATTCATGAAATAAAATACCAGAGTAATACAATTTTCAAATTTAGGAATTTTTTTCTTTCTTCTTTCTACATGTGTGCTACTTGTTGTTCTAATAAGATTATCAAATAAATAGAAAAGAAAATATTATGTGTAGAAATACCATTTTTATATCTCATTTCAAAGAAATTGGAAGCAAGGTGTCATGTTAAATTTTAGTATGAATTACATGCCAACTTAGAAGAAAAGAAAAATTATGTCTGTGTAAGAGAGAGAGAAGAGGAGAGAGAAAAGAGAAAGCAAGAAAAAGAAGTGAGAAAGAGAGGAGAGAGAAAAGGGAGAGCGAGTTTATGTACACTGTTGACACATGGCCGTATGAGTGCTTGTTCATGTGTGTGCGTGCGTGTGCTTGTGGTGGCCAGAGAGCGACCTCAGGCGGTGGTCTCAGGTAACGTCTACTTTGAGATAGGGTCTCTCGGTCTCTCTGGCCTGGAACTCTCCTCATGGGCTAGGCTTGTTAATTCTGGACATCAACATGTCTCTGCCTTCCCAACACTGGGATTACAAAAATACACTACCATGCCTGGCCTTTTTTTTTTTTTTTTAACTGAGTGTGTAGTTTTTTACTGTGTGGTTCGAAATCAGGTTCTCATAATTGAAAGGTAAGCACTTCACCAACTAAGAAATCTGTCAGCCCCTCAAATCAATTATTAAAATGTGTTTTCAGTATAGTAATGGCTTGTTAGAAATTATCACATTTACAATAAGTTTGTCAGAGATATAAGTCAGTTGAAAAATATTCTGTGCACAAGGCTGTGGGTTCCGTGCTCAGTAGACATAAAGAATCCATACACATAAAGAAAAATAGCTTAAATAGGTGTTTAACAGACAGAGAATAAATGATAAGAAATACATCTAACTAGAAATGTAATTAAAACAGCACTCATTTTATTTTCCAACTGTGTAAGTTAATCACAAACTTGTAGCATTTTGTTAGCATGTTCAGTTTAGGCGTGCCTGTCTATGTTTTCATGATCAAGACTTGATTTGGGGAAATTTTTTATGTAACATAACTATTAGGGAGTTTGACTTTAATTCTTACGGTCCTCTATCATGGCATAATTAAATATCAACTCTGTCTTTGAATTAACTAATTTTTAATAATATTCTTTGGTTTTAAAGCAATATTGTCATGCGAGAGCTTGCTCCACAGTTTCACATCCCCTGGTCAATACCCTTAGAAGCTGAAGACATTCCCATTGTACCAACCACATCTGGAACGATGTAAGTTTCAATTATGTATTTTTCATTCAGAAATTCCTTGCATTTTCCATGTTAGTCTACCTTACTACAGTAAAATATAAATTTCTGAATCATTATTATATACTCTATATAGTTTTATATGATTCAGTGTGAGGATAGGGGAACAGGTAAGTTTTTATAAGGGTATACTAAACTAAAACTTGCAATATTGTGTTAAAATCCTGAAACAGGCTTGAGCAAGTCCAGAGCCACATAATAAAGCCTATAACTGTGTTTGGGTGCCACTAGGTGTATTGCTCAGGTTTATAGGATCATTCACTTTCGTCTTTGTCTAGTTATATATGTAGGTAAATCAATAAGATTGATATTGCCAAAGTGTTTGATAGCATTTTGCTTGGGAAAATCACTCAGTTTAATGTCAGGTGATGTGACTGAATGCTTCATAGTCACAAGTTTAGAGACTTATTTTAGCATGGTAAATCTTCTGAAAAATCCTAATTGGGAGGAAAATGTACTTAATTATGTTTCAAGGCAGTATTTTTAAAGTTATTCAGAATAGAATATTTTTGGACTATTAATATCTTTCAAGGATGTGTTTGTTCGGTGATTTGCACTTTGAAAATTGAAATGAGAGCTCTTTGGTCTGGCAAACCGCTAAACTTTTCTACGTTGAATTTTAAATAATTTTTTCTTAAATGACAAGATACACGAAATATATAAATACAGCAGCCATCATATAAAAGTTGATTTTGCTTTGATTTAATGATGTCTCTGCTGATAACAATCTAATACAGGGCAGATATTTAATAAAATTCAGGTTAGAGTCTGTTTACTTTATCCCCCTCATTATCTGTAAAGAAAAAGAAATACTGTATTTCTCAATATCATGCCTTTGTGCCACCTTAATATCTTATAGGACCTGGTTTTTCAAAATTAAGACCGAGGAAACCTTTATTGCTGGAGAGTTGAGATCATAGGTATTTTTTGTCATTTCAGGATGGAACTTCGGTGTGTCATAGCTGTCATACGACATGGAGATAGAACACCGAAACAGAAGATGAAGATGGAAGTGAGGCATCAAAAGTATGTCCTAAGAAAAAGAACTGCCTACCCGTGTGTAATCGAAAAGTTGTGTTAGCGTTAAGCTCTTTTGATTGATGCGTCAGACAGATTTTTACCTACTACTTTTTGATCATGAAAATATTTAATCCACTGAATATATACAAACTCATTTAAAGTAATTATGTGTGCTAGCACCTAAAATTTATTGTGGGTGTATCCATAACTCTCAGTCTAACCTGCCTTTCATTTATCATCATAGATATATTCTACTTATTCTTAGTTTATTATTTTCTTGCATTGTACTATGAGAAACATCAACACCTCAACATTCTAGAAGCAAATTGGTAGAAAGTGCCCATTATCTTTGTTCCATGTTTGATTTGGAACTTATAAAATATGGAAACCTGAGCCATTAAATATAACACATTATGTCATTAAAATTGACACATGCATTGACAACAGAAAATATTTTTTAATTGTCTGCTGTTTCCTTCATGAGCAAACTTTTTGAAAGTCGTACAGTGGGTATTAGTTTGATGTGTGTTAGGCATGTGTTAAGTTTTATTGGTAAAAGAGGAACAGATGCCAAGTGTAGTGGGTACCACTAGTTCATGTACCTGTGCTTCAGAGATCGAGGCAGGAGATCACTTGAGCCAAGGAATTAGACGCCGACTGGGTAATATGTAACCTGATACTGTGGCAGGGAGAAAAGACAGAGGAAACCTCAGGTTGAGTGAAAGTGTAAACAGTGCTTCCAGGCACAGACTCTAAACCTTCATTCCGTATCTGCTTGATTAGGTTGACTATATGGTGAGGGTTTTTGTCTGCTATCTTTGTTTTCTCAGTAGCCCTTGATCTCGTGCCCCTCCCGGTGCAGCCTGTTGAATGCTGTGATTATAGGTGTGCGCTCCTATGCCCAGTTTCACAGCAATAATATTAATTATTGCAAATGACTAACTGTCTTCTATCCTTTTGTAAGGTTTTTTGATCTTTTTGAAAAGTGTGATGGCTACAAGTCAAGGAAGTTAAAACTCAAGAAGCCAAAACAGTTACAGGCAAGGTTTTTTTTTTTTTTTTTTTTTTTTGTTGTTGTTGTTGTTTGCTTTTATGTATGTTGAATTTGAACTTTTTAAGGTGAAATAACATAAAAATTCATACTCTTTATTAACGTACATAGGAAGTCCTGGATATTGCACGGCAGCTTCTTATGGAGCTGGGGCAAAACAATGACTCTGAAATTGAAGAAAACAAGTCAAAACTTGAACAACTTAAGACTGTGTTAGAGATGTGAGTACCTCTTTGGCACTCTTCCTTACGGTACAGTTCTCCTGTTTGCTTTATGGGATTGTCATTTGTCCTAGTCAGGGTTACTCCTGCTGCAACGAAACACCATGACCAAAAGAAGCTTGGGGAAGAAAGGGTTTATTTGGCTTACAGATCCTGAATCAGTCCATTAAGAGAAGCCAAGCCAGGAACTCAAACCAGGCAGGAACCTGGAGGCAGGAGCTAGTGCGGAGGCCATGTGGAGGGCTGCTCACTGGCTTGCTCAGCCTAATTTCTTATAAAACCAGGACTGCAGCTCAGGGGCTGCATCACCCACAATGGCCTGGCCCCTCCCCATCAATCACTAATTAAGAACATGACCTACAGGCTTGCCTACAGCCCAATCTTAGGGATGCATTTTCTCAACTGGAGTTCCCTACTTTTGGAAGGCTCGAGCTTCTATCAAGTTGACGTAAAGTAAAACTAGCCAGGACACCATTTTCATTTCTTTCAGTGTGTTCTTCCAGTTTTTTTATTGGAGCAACTGAAGAGAAATGAAAATCTAATGTGATAATATATTATTATATTGAATTACTGCTATTTTAGTTTTACTATGAACTTCAGTGAGGAGAAAGAAAGCAAACATTGTACTTGGGGCTTCTTGAATACTTAGAATGAAGATCACATACCTAACGGAATCATAGATTGAGCTCTATTTAGCTAAAAAATTTTGAATTATTCAATCAAAAATTGATACCCATCAGTATTTCTGTTACTTATATCCTTCATTTAACGATATTTAATTGTACTTTATTTTAAAACATTTTTATTTTATTTTTGAGAATTTGCTATGTGTATACAGTGAAATATTATCATATGTACTTCCCATTTCCCTCTCCAACTACCCCCATTCTCCACTAACACATCTCCCTCCCAACTTCGTGTTTTTGTTAAATTCCATTAGGGCTGATTATATACGTGAAAGGGTGTGGGACGTCCAGTGGAGCATGGGAAACCTGTCCATGATCATATTCTGAAAAAGGAATGCTTCTCCCTCCCCAGAAGCCATCGTATGGCAGTAGCTCCTCAGTGATGGCGAGGGCCTGGAGTATACCTTCAACACCTATGCCTGAATTTTGTCTAACTTGGTCTTGGAACCATGGCTTCTGTGAGATTTTTTTTTTTTTTTTTTTTTTTTTTTGACGAGGGGGTTTTTAAAGACTCCATCAAGGCTGTCGTAGAACTCATCTGTAGGAAGTGAATCAATACTTCATTAATACTTTATAATCTAATTGGTATTTTATTTTTCAGGTATGGTCATTTTTCTGGAATAAATCGTAAGGTCCAATTGACCT